AGGATACTTCGTCGTAAAGGCTTATGAGCACCTGAAAGTGTCGGTGCTCGATGTGGCTACGGCGACTCTTCTGCTGGCCGACTTCATGTTGGACATTGACGTGGTTCTGACGAAAATCGAGACTTGCCTTTGAGGATGATGCTCAAAGTGAGTGTCATGAAAGCTAAAGTTTCGACGCCAAAGTGGCTAATTACCCGGTAATTGCTGGCGTCAGCATGAAAACATGCCTGAAGCCTGGAGGTCCAAAGTAGGTGCAGTCACAGCGTGTTTGTGCTTGCGCCTGGCGATTGTGGTACGGTCTGGCCGTGTTCTTGGGGGTGGTTGGCAGGCGATGACCGCGGCTTTGTGATGTAGTGGGCTAGTTCCGGGCGGCCGGTTGTGGAATCCTTGCCTTGCTGTGGTGAGTGAGAGAGAGAGAGAGAGAGAGAGAGAGAGAGAGAGAGAGAGAGAGAGAGAGAGATAGAGAAAGAGGAGGGAGAGAGAGAGAGAGAGAGAGAGCGTCGAAAGCTCGAGCGTCAAAGTAGACAGGGGATGTTGTGCACTGTGCAAGGCTTAACCGTTGATTGTGCTATATTGTGCTTATCGATTCCTTTCCAGCCCGAGGAGGAGATTCCGAACTCCTACCTTGCCTTCAGTTCTTCTGCCATGGCGGCGTTTCTGATCCCCGAGCTTTTCGCCTTGAGCCAAGTCGCTCGGCCGGCCGAACATGTCGGTTTTGGGGCCCATCAAGCCGTTCCCGAACCTCCCCACCAACAACAGCAATGGACATAGTTAAATACGGCCGGAATGCTGGAGACATCGGGCTTGGTAATCCTGAAGGGGATTCTGACATTCAATCTCCCTACATTCCCTACATGGCCGAGTGAAAGCTATCAACAGCAGGACAATCGGATAACTGTCCTGCCACCTCCGGTAATGAACAAGGCGGATAGTCGCCATCGTCTGCATGGATGGCAATATAGCAAGCCAGACATTAGGAAGGTTTTGCTGTCTCGTCTCAAGCACTCTTAGCTAGCAGTTCATAACAGACACCTTGGATGTGTCCGAGTGTCCAGTGTAAGGGCCAGAACAAGCAACAGCCCTGTGAAGCCAGGACATGCTGACTTGGTTTCCGCTCCTGCACTATGGCATTGGTGTGGTTCTTTGCTTCTTCGGCCTGCAGATGCTCTTTGCTTGGGCTTACGCACCATGCCGGCACGAAGCAAGCCTTTCAATCCCAACTGCTGCAAGGGTGAGAAAGCCCATCATTCAGCCCCGGTTTTCCCCGTGCAACACCACATGGAAGCTGCAAAGAGGAGATCCAGCCGCTGGTGGCTTGCTGTGTGGTGGTGGCAATCCTCGCTGGCTGCGCACCTTGGCACTCCGAAATCTGCACCGTGTCGGTTGGGACATTTCATGGCCCATGCTGTGCGAAATTTGAATCCCAGTCTACTTCCGAGTTTCGAAGCGTGGGCCCTCCCGAAGCTGCATCATAATTCGCACAAGAATCCATCTCGAATCAGCCCTGCAACTTCACAAGAGGCGTGTTTCTTCAAGTGTCTGTGACTGTTCAGGTAGCCGTCGACTTCTTGCGGAAGTGGTGTGCGCATGCAGGCCAAGTTTAAGTCCGCGAATCCTTTCGCGGGATGTTTCCCTAGACCGCACACGCCTTGAGTCCTTGTTAAGGATGTTGCCCGCAACAACACTAACACAAATAAGAAATGGTTGAAGATGGTCGGAGGCCTTGAATATTTTGGAGTCCCTGCAGCGATAGCCGCTTCAGCTCCACAGTCAAACCCAACTCCAGATTTGACTCGATCCTGCGTTACAGGATCCGCACGAGAAGCCCTGGTGAGAAGTGGGCCAAACTGAGTGTCCACAGCGTGGACTGCGGATCCTCAACTTTGTGTTCTGCACGGAGGTGCATGGCGGGCGCTGTCGTCGGTTTTTGGTTCGACCGAAGGCTGGAGTGGTGGAGAAGCTTAAAGACTAGCAGGTTGTGCAGAATGTGGAAGGTTTGGCTGCCTGACTGGAAAAATGCTTGCAGCATCGAAGCAAACCAGGCATACAGTGGCACACGACGGCACTACGCCGTATGCTTCGACAGCTTGTTTCTTCCTACTGCATGTCTCAGCTTCTCATTCGATACGTTTCGCGGACCGGCAAGCCAGCACAAATCATCCGCTGTGCAGCCCCACACGGTTGTTCAACGCAATGCTGTTGGACGCCACGTCATATTCGGCAGCCGCCTTACAGTCTGTCTTCTCTTTTCCACTACCCAGCGGGCCGACCAGCTTCTAAGAATGGTGTAGATCGTGTGGGTGCATACACAATCATGCAAAAAGGTGTTGTCATTCCCAGAGGGGGTGAGGTCGTTGGTTCGTCACCAAGCCGCCCAGTTTAAGGGTTGATGCCAGGCATGGACGTCAGCTTCTGGTCGATAGGCCTTACAAGCATTGACGCCAGCCTGAATGTCGTCGCACAAGATCACCTATACTTGCCTCCAGACATGAAAAGAAGTCAGAAGCACGCATAAGCCTTAGCAAACAGGCAGACCTTGTTCGGCAGAAAATCAGGCGCGTAGGTACACGTGATGGTGGGCGTAGTCCGTAGTCCGAGCGATCCGACAAACAGCGGTCTACATGCGCTGACAGCTTCGCAAGCACGGAGGTCACTCAACCGAGTGCACCGCTTCAGAATCCCAATCTGCCTTGTCTTAACTTGTCTTAGACGGAGCTTACTCGTAAGCCGATTGCGGAGAGAATGTTTTTTTTGTCATTGCCCTTCGTGCTGTTGTTCCAACACTTCCGTGCTGGTGGTTTACTGCGACCCGACGCAAATTCAACCCACAGGAAGATGAGTAGTAGCAGTAGGAGAATTACATGGACCGGCCTGAATGCTGTAGCTCAATCGCAGGCAACGTTTGTCAAGAAACACTGCTGGGTAGGCGGTCACACGCGGCTGTCGCAAGCATTGGTCCAGGCTTCCTCCAAGCTTGACTGCGCTTCTGCTGCTAAGCTACTATATAATTACTATAGTAGAGTGATCTACTTCCATCGCAGCGGCTGCTGCTGGACGGTGACCAGTACAGCTCCAATGACAGCGTGTGACCCCACTGATCTCACGAATATGTCACCATCCAGCTGGCCACTGGCCATGGAGAAGTTTCACGACACGACCACTGGTGAATGCAGAGTCGAACTCGAGGAGTCTTGTTCCCCTGTCCTCTGTCCATTCGGAAGTTGCCATGTGTTTTGAAACCGATGTGCACACAATGTCATTTATATACCTATATGCGCGCGCGCCTGATACTCGCGAAGGGGGATGCCTGAGACTGTCAAGCCTGCAAGGCACACGGTCTTGACCTGCAGGCTCATGCCCTGTGTCGTGGCAGTTCTAAGGAATAGACAGTTTGGGTTCAGAAGAGGCTCCGACATGGACAGTACATTAGGAGCATTCTGAGCCTTAGGTTGAGCCCAGTGTCTTCGCGCCAAGAGTGCAAGGACCTCAAGACCCGAGGCTTGTCATGCCGAGCCCACCATGTACAGAGGCTTACGAGCATGCGATAGTGTGCAAGCGGAGCTTCTGCAAACGTGCGGAGGAGCTCCTGGAGTCCTGATTCGGAGAAGTGCAAAGGTCGGAGAACAGACTCAGGCTGTAGTAGGCTACATCGGGCTCCAGCTCCCCTGCCTCTCACCAGTAGAGGGGGACCCCAGCGCGCAAAGCGGAAGCTCGAAAGGAAAGAAGCAGGGTTGTTCAATTCCAATCTTTCAGCCATGCTATCATCGCGGGCGGACTTGCGGCTGCCGCAACCCTGATTTCCGACTCCCCCGGTACATCCCTATCCTTGGAGATCGAACTCAGCTCAGGAATTCCGAAACACCATATCTTCGGCAGCAGCTTGCAACAGATTTTCGGAATCAACAGCCAACTCCCCGAAGCCCTCCCAACCAAGCACCGCGCGACTTCGTTTGCAGTTTCCAGGCGCTGCGGCTCAAAGGCTTAGCCGCAGAGGCCTGGTCAGGCAAATTTTTGTTGAGAAATCCCTCTGACCGGAATTCCCGGATTTTGTCACAGATTTGTTGATACCCGTTCAGTATGTCGGAAGGCTTGCGACTTGCGGGTGTGAGATCGGGGATTGAAGTCCGCCTGCGTGCGATTTTTTGTTTCGGACGTGATGTTTCCCAATGTACAGATGGAAGTAGCATGTTTGCATGCAAGATGAAGTTGATACCGGTTGTCCCAATCTTTGGAATCGATTTACCACGCATACCACGCAGCATGTTGGTGACCTTTGCTTCGAACTAACATGAGTGAAGAGCACTATGGGACGAGTTGTGGAAGAAAGCTGCAGCACCATGCAGCAAGCAATGCTGCCGATGCAGCCAATGTTTCGCCGGCCAGTTAGACAAACTCGCTCGCCCGAAGGCACGCGCCAAGTTGAAGGAGTTCTACTAGGCAAGGGCAATCTTGGTTTCGGGCTTTCAGGGCTACAGGCCTGAATACAGCTGATGCTTCGAGACTGCATGAGAGAGATGGTTAAGGGGTTCCGGTTGGGCCGTGGCAGGGCGCCGTGTTTAGAAATACAAACTCCGATTCAGACGTGGCGCAGTGCTTTTCATACTAGCAGTCTTGCATGCTTCGGGACTAGGCAGTTGTCGGTGCTGTCAAAGTCCCCAGCAGAAGGACTCTGACAGAGTCGGTCACGTTTGTTATGAGAGGTTGGATCGCTTGCTGGTGTAATCGTGAAACGGAGAGCGAGTGACGTGTTCGGCTATGCAGGTATGTTGTTGTCTTTTTTGGCCGGCCTGGCTCCAGCACGGGCTTTTCCAGTGGCAACGGTCATGCTAGTTCGCCGGGCGCATGGGGCCGTGGCCCGTCGAACTTGCAGAGCTCCGCAAGCCTGGCATCTCAATGGCTGGCTCTCGCAGGGTCGTTTGGAGAGCTCTGGCTCTGCCGTCGCTGGACTGCCAGGCTGGAGGGAGGTCTCCTGGCCTTTCCAAGGTTGGGCCGACTGCTACATGGCCTTCAACGATCCTTGGCTAAGAAGTGCATGTAAGAAGCATTGCGTCATTGCTTGTCCAGCAAAGTGTTGGAGCTTGTTGTGATTATTATTGTTATTGTTATCATGATGATGATGATGATTATTGATATTATCGTTCTTCTTCTTGTTATTATTAGGGCCCCTATATGTTGTGCCTCGTCATTTGAGGATCCACCCGGGGAGATGCTCCACATTGTCTTGAGCCTTTTGCGGGCTCGTCTCGTTGACATTGACCGTTTGGTGAGCGTGGCTGGGTCGATGACCGCGCTCAATCTACTCACAGCTGTAAATCCCAGGCGTCTGCACTTCTTTGACATGAACCCTTGTGCAATCTTGTGGGGCAAGTTGCTTTGTGAGCTTATCTTGCTATCGAGCACGCCACAAGAGTTCATTTCCCGACTCTTTGCACGAAGCGTGGCCGAATTCGAATGCGATGCTGGCCAGCTGACGTTCCGAAACCAGGAGAAGTTTCTCGCACGCCCAGTGTCTGCAGCGATGCGAGAAGAGACCCGGCAAGCTCTGTCGGATGAGGCAGCCTCTGTCTACTCGCAGATCTTGTCTGGCTATCAGGACTGAGACGGGAGGGCTTCATAATGGATTCTGATGTGAAATCGGGGAATCCTTTCGATCAGTATGTGCGGGCAGGCTCCCACCAGCTTCGCAGTTTTCTGCAACACATCAGCTCACCCGGTGCTGGGTGGCGGAGCATACATGCACGAACACGAAGCTGTAGCGCCTCCCAGCTCCGAGCGGAGATGGGGACTCGGCGTGTCTGTTTCTCCAAGCGTGGAAAGCAAGCACACATCTTGTGGCAGGATGGAGCGGTGCGCCACGGTTGGAACACCCCGTGCATTGTGCCGTGCGAAGATCGGCGGCGGCTGCACCACTCCACGCGATCTGGTTTGGGAAGCCAGGGCCGTCTCCCGAGCGACAAGGCTTGATCTTTGTTATTGGGTCGCTATAGCTGATGCAAAACGTAGCATCACCGAGTCCTGTTGTGAGCCTTGTAGAGATTTGCAGATGTTCTTGAAGCGGTTGATGTTTGTCGAGCCTCACCCATGTCCGGACGACATTCGCCCGACGGGACATCGAGGTGATGGGGTCGCTTCCTTCCACTACGGAGAGGGCTGGCTCGCATCCTCCTGGCTCTACGCGGAGGTGCGGAGGAAGCTGCAGCAGACCCAACCGACCTGGTCGAGCCAAGTCGATTTCCCGGCGGCCCGGCCTGAAGATTTGCTCCCGGATCTTGCTGGTGCCTGCAAGTCCCCAATCACCCTCCTGAGCCTCGGCTTCAAGAAGGCATATTATTACTATTATGATTATGATTGTATATTGGTATTATTATTATTATTATTGTTATTATGATAATTAAACTGGTAGTTACTGTAGCCTGATATGCACGAAGGGCTTACAGCATAGAGGGTGTTTTAGCCCTGGATTCCAGCTTGGTCCCCCGATCCGGATTCGTGGCTAGCGCTCATGTGTCGAGGTTCTTGATGGACATGTTCTCCTCCGAATTCGCCAGCGCCTGGTCATCTGACCAAGCTTTGAGGAGAGGGCTTTGCTGAGCTAACTTGTATGCTTCACATCAGGTTCCAGACGTCAGTAGCTTGAGAGTGCATGAGGCTGTGGGGCAGGCCATCATGCTTGCGGTTCCGCTTGTGAGGGTTAACGTGGGGAGGAAGCTTGTCGTCTTTAACTCAACTCGGCATCATGTTCTTCGAACATGTATGTATGGCTGGCTGGACGGATGGATGGATGGATAAACCGAACCACCATTGCCGAATGGGACCCTGCGAGGATGGCGCGGCATGCGGGCCGGCTGCTAGTGGCTCAGACGATCACTTCCCAAAAGGGTCACCTTCTGCAGGAGCTCCTGGGACCTAGGGAGATCAGGGCAGGCAGAGCATGGAAGGTTGGGAAGAAGACGAAGGTTCTGATTCGATGGGGCGGAGTGTGTGGATGCTTGATGTTTCACTCAAGCTGTGATGGCCTACGCCCCGCTGACGTGGCCCAACTGTTTGTGTGGACTTGATCATGCCTTCACATCTATGCTGGAGTAATTATTCATGGTCGAGTTACGTCGGCTTTCCGGTAGCTCAGCTCCCCCTCCAGCGAAAACGTCGACAGCAGGAGCTGATCCCTGGACAGACACCACCATGGAGCCTTGCAGAGGGAGCTGAGTGGTGGTTCACTCGTTGATTTCTTCATGAGGGTAAAACTTGGATTGATTTACGGTTTCGGCCGGGCGACTGCAGCACTGGCAGGTTCTACTGGGCAGGCGACTGCGAATCAGCCCGGAACCATCAACAAGAGGGGATTAGGGGTTTTAGGGTTTTAGAAGTGAGAAGCCTCAAGCTCAGGACGAGCCTCTCGGATTGGGACTCTATGGCGCTGGTGCCCAGCGAGTTCTGCCGCCACTGGGCCGAAGCTACGATTTTCTCATTATTTACAAATATCAAGTTGTCATATCAAACATGGTTGGCCTGTTGGGGTTAGGGGGCTTAGCCTGGCAAAAATCAGGCCGTTGCCTGCTTGTTTCGATCCAGGGTCAACCCCTCCAAGAATGCGTCACCTGCTTTCCAAGCGACTTGATCGTGGGCATTTCGTTCTTTGTTCAGATCACAGCATATGCTGTCTTGAGACTCTCTGATGCTTGCTTTGGGCCTTGCATAGATGGAGCTAGAGGTACCAAAGAACCACAAGCCCGCAGAGTTCCGGTGGTCAGCATCAGGTGTTGGTGCATCGCTGACTCCTGGCTGCCGGCCTCCTGGAAGTTCCGGGGAGGTCATGGAAGAGTGGGAAGGAGTCTCGTCGATCTTCGGTTCTAGATGCAGGTTCTGGGAGATTCTGTCGCGCAGGTCTTCCGGAGATGTCATCCCCTCATGCGTGATCCCAATCTGAGCCGGCGCATGCACCGCCTGGTAGAAGAGCTGACACGAAGCTGAAGCGTTTCAGACGCGAGGCGGCAAAAGCAAGCAACTGGCATCTCAGCTTGGTACATGTCGGGAAGGGTCCAGGGTTGACCCGAGGTTGCAGCGTGCTTAGTAGAAAGGGCCTCTGAATCCAGAATCACCTGAGTGTCATCTAGTCTTGGGCCCCTTCCTTCCGAACTTCATCGCCATCTCACGCAAAAAGCATGTTCGACCAGACCCAGTTGAAACGGAAAGCAGCAGGAAATTTGTCTTGACCAGAGCATGCCCCTGACAACTTGTGGATCTTGGTGACTTTGTTCTGTGCCCCTTCGGACCGGTGTGTACCTGTCCGCAGCCACGAGCATCGAGCGCACTAAATGCAACCAACTAGAGTATGACTATCTATCATTATATCTATATATATATATATATATATATATATATGTATATATATATATATATATATATATATATATATATATATTATATGTATATGTAGATGGATATACATATATATATATATATAGCCTAACGGACACAAGGCGGGGGGGGGGGTGCGAATTGCCAGCGGCACAGCCGAAAGAGTCGGATCCTCTTCAGCTCTCGAGCCTCACCCCAACTCACCTCATGTTCTCAACCCCAGCCCCAGCGCGTTACAGCGGAAAGAAATCAAGACTTCCGGCTTCCGATCTCTGGAGCTTCGAGCTGGAGCCCAGCTGCGCCGATGAAGCGCCGCGGCCAGCCTCCCGCGCCCAAGGCGAAAGGGAAGGCCAAGAAGGCGGCGGAGGAGGCCGAGCTGGGACACCCCAATTTCCAATCTTCTGTAGGACGCTCCTTACATCGTAGTGGGTTCGGGACAGGACATTGGGAAGGGCTGGCTGGATTTGCGACGTGTGTTGAGGAGCCGAGGAAGCGCATCTGTCACAAAGCGGCCTTCACCGAGCCGACCAGGAAGCGGCTCGGAAAGGCTGGCGATGAATGCCATACCGCATGCCCCTTATACTTTATTTGGATTTATACACATCGTATACAGTCCGCCTTTATTTTTGACTACTGTAGCACTGTAGTGCCCGTATCCCGCAAGTGCTCATAGGTTGCCCTGGAACAGCCCACAATACCCTCGACCCTCGACTCTGGCAGTTGAGGGCCTCAGGGCTCAGAGGCTCAAGGCATTTATCCTTTCAGTGGCTGTCAATACGGATCAATACGGCACCTATTATTTAGGGTACCCAAAAAGGGGCCATTAGTTTGACAACTACCCATTTATGTAATCACGGTCTGTGGCTGCACAACACAGGAGTTGGAAGACCGACTGTGACCTGTAAAGTTATTCGCTGTGTCCGAGAAGGCCGAGTTGGCAGCTGTGCGGGTGAGGGCGCAGGACGGACTCTGAATCTGGACTGGAGGTTGACGGGAAAACTCCTTGAGGCTGTGGCAGCCAGATTTATGTTGCAGCACATGGATAAAAAGAACAGCTGCCTGCCTAGCTGTCTCCAGGTATGGCAATGTGTTGAATTTGTTTATGTCCCTCTTGAATACCATCCGCCCGTCCGTCCCTGGAAATCCCGCAGGAAGTTGTGGAGAGCGCTTTTCTCCACACACAATCAGTGGAGGCTGCCCTCCGGAAAGAAGCAGAGGATGCAGAGGCAGCTCCTGCTTCAGCATTCCGAGCTTGTTTTCAAGCCTATTATTGGGCGAATGAGAAATGTTTCGTTTCGGTATAGCCGCTGATTACAAATCTGGTCCAGTCCGGCAAAAAGGACGCTCCACCATCCGAAAGAAAGACATTGAATCGCCATGGCTGGCCCAGCAATGTAGTATTAGTATTAGTATTAGTATTAATATTAGTATTAGTATTAGTATTAATATTAGTATTAGTATTAGTATTAATATTAGTATTAGTATTAGTATTAATATTAGTATTAGTATTAGTATTAATATTAGTATTAGTATTAGTATTAGTATTAGTATTAATATTAGTATTAGTATTAGTATGAATATTAGTATTAGTATTAGTATTAATATTAGTATTAGTATTAGTATTAATATTAGTATTAGTATTAATATTAGTATTAGTATTAGTATTAATATTAGTATTAGTATTAGTATTAGTATTAATATTAGTATTAGTATTAATATTAGTATTAGTATTAGTATTAATATTAGTATTAGTATTAGTATTAATATTAGTATTAGTATTAGTATTAATATTAGTATTAGTATTAGTATTAATATTAGTATTAGTATTAGTATTAATATTAGTATTTGCGAACGGACTGCGATGCCTTGTCAAGTTCTAAGGTGTCACTATAAGAGCTGTGAGCAAGACCATGCAAAGTGCAGGGGAAGGGGGCACGCTACGTGTCCCTCGACTCTAAGGGGGCACGCTACGCGTCCCTCGACTCTAGGAGTAAGCTTGTGGACGTGCTGCGCACACCGCATCGCTTCTCCTTACCTTTCTATGTGACCGCCCACGCAACGTTTGGCTCAAGTCAATGCCCATAGCTAAGTGCTATATGTGTCTTCTATCCTGAGCAATCAGAGCTATCCCGTGCACAGACGAACCGCCGCCGGCAGCGAGTGCAAAAGGAACGGCCGCCGGTTCTGCCTGCATAGGATTGCACGTGTGGAAGTGTGAGAGAGACAGGGTCCAGTCTGTGGAGAGTGCAAGCCAGCCACACCTACATTCATTACAGCTCTGGTGGGGAGAGCAGCAACATAATCGAGATCAATTCCCCACGCAGGTTATCAGCCGTACGCGGCTCTGCCTTTCTACAGCAACGACTACTTGATCTACTACGACCACAATGAACTCGGGATCAAGCCAAGATACGACAATGACTTTCGGTGCCGATGTGGCAGCGCCAGCCGTTGGTGAGTCAACAGCTGATGACACAGTGGTGCAATCCGTTGATAGCTCCACGGAAGATGACAAAGGTCAATCTTCTGCGCTTGCCATTGCAAAGGCAGTTCCCAAGGTGAAAGCAAAGAGTCTACCAAGAGCATCTACGCCTTCGCGTCCGACATCCACAGGTTCGAGGACGGGCAAGGCTCCAGAACGACGAGCCGAAGCGTCTGGTTTTCAGGCACCTCGGACTACGTCCAGGGCCAAGGACAAAGGAGTGAAAACCTTGGAAAAGAAGTCGAGACCATCATCTTCGAGAAGCTCTTCAGCACGATCAAGGACTTCGGCTACTCGTGGGCGTGATAAGTCCATGACATGGAATCGAATGGTTACCAATCAACCACGCGATGCTGACGATCTGGATATGACTCTGGACACTATCCCTGCACGTGGTGATGCGTCATCGGTGACCACGCCAGCCATAGCCGATGGTCCGAATGCCTATCAGGAACTGACGATTTCGCAACAGCTCGAAGCATCGAACCTTGCGCAGCAGATGTACTATCGCAGTCAGATGCAAGAGTACGAAGGAGTTGTCCAGACCCTGATGGATAAGATCAAGGAGATGCAACAAGAAGATGAAGGATCTGGGATTCGCATCGAAGAATTGGAACGACAACGTGACCATGCATGCTTAGCCATGAGGCACATCAACAATGTCAATCAGGAGATGAAGCGAGACTATGAAGCAGCTTTGTTTCGCATGGATGAACAGAACTC